GGCAGGCCCCCCCCCCCAGCACTGTTTATCTTCAGGGAAATGGTCCCTGTCCAGTCTATTCTGTATTCCTCTCCTTTCCGCTTCTGAGTGAGTTGAGAGGCAAGTCTATGACTTCTGTTTTGGTTTCCAAGATCCTATCAAGAGAAAATTGTGTGAGCGTGAGATCTGAGATTCCCCGACTCTTAGGTCATGGCCCAAGCTGGTGTCACCCGAGGGCAGGAGTGCTTTCTTTCACAATTTAAAAAAACCCCAGTAAAATCAGACCATTACAAAGATTTTATCTAGAGCTCCAGGAAATGGGAAAAGAGTCAGAACCAGGCGGCCTAAGGCGTTGTGTGCAACTGACCAATTGAGTATAAGAGCCTCTGGTTCTTTCCAGCGAGATAGAGAAGCCCAAGTCTCCCCCTCAGTTCCATCCGGGTTCACCCCATCTGCACCCCCACTAAGCTCAGGGCAGACAGAGAAGCTGCCCTCAAGCACCGCTGGGCAGAGTCAGAGCTGAAGCCACTTTGTTATTCTCAGCCCCTGTGTACTGGATCGGCTCCTTCCTAACAAGGGAGGCACCAGGCTGCTGCAGGTAAGCAGGTGGAGATGGAAGAAGCCACCTGCAGGCACTAAAGCCCGTGTGGGTGTGTAATGAGGCAATTTTCACAGGCAGCCAATAGCCCTAAACAAAGCCAGGGGCTCTGCTTCATGAGTCAGACCTTGAACAAGTTGTTTAACCTCTCTGAGACAGAGTTTCTCATCTGTAAAATGGGATGCAGGGTGGGTGAAGAACTTCACACGAGCCCAGCGTGTGCAGAAAGCACACAGACACACAGATCGGGATGTCACTGCCACTCCGGGCTGCCAGCATTACTTGTTCGCCCAGAACTGATTGCTCTTACTTTTGTGATAGGCAGTCATAGACGTGAGCAGAGCAAGGACCATGCGCCAGGTACAGAAGGTCACCAGGGTGGAAAGCCCTCGGTACCTAGCAACAGACAATTGTAGGGTGGGACCTCGCCCCCAGGGTGGCCTTTCCTCACCTAGCATATCCCTGGTCATGTGGTTTGGATCCCCTGACCTTTCCTCCCTAGAGATGACATCTAGGCCTCAATTGTATTTCAGCTTCAGGCCCAGAAAAGCACCAAACCAGCCACAGCTGACCTCAGAACCAGCTGCACTGGATAATGACCCCCTGCCCCTGCCCCCGCGCCCACCAATCAATCCGTGGAGACCACGGCCCTGAAAGGACACGTGGAAAGCTGCTGAATATTCTATTGAGATTTTCCCCTGGGACCGCCCCTAAATCTCTACCCTTAAAACCCGTAGGACTCAGTGCTCGCTCCCGCATGGAACAGCCCGGGCCTCTCCCTTTCCCGGCGCCCTACCATTAGCTGCCTCTCTCCCAAGCTCCAAGGGCCCTTCCTTTGTCTCTATAACTTGTTTCCTAAGTTCACTTTTTCTTCTACAAATTACTTCTACCTCTGTGATTTTTCCAAATAAGTGTTCTCTTATAGTTGGGTCTTGGCCCTGAATTCTTTCCTAGCCAGAGCTCAAGTGCCGAGGTTGCTGAGCCCAGGTCCGGTCTGACCCCACCGGACTGACACCCGGTGCCGCTCGCTGCCCCCAGCACTTTTAAGGGGCCGTTGGCAACAAGTCCCAACGTCTGCCTTGTCCTGCGTCGTCTGTGCATGTGATGGCGTGATCCCGCTCTTCCTGCTTTCCCTCACCATACTATCTACCTTTGGCAATACACTGACCCTCTTTCAAAACAGATCTTTAAAAAACTGCTCCAGGGATGTATCCTAAGGAACCCAAAACATTAATGTGAAAGAATATATGCGCCCCTGTGTGCATCGCAGCGTTATTTACAAAAGCCAAGATCTGGGAGCGGCTCACGTGCCCATCAGTAGCTGATGGATAAAAGCTGTGGGACAGTCACACCAGGGAACACTACGCAGCTGTGAAAAAGGCAATCTTACCCTTTGTGGCAGCACGGAGGGGCCTGGAGAGCATTGTGCTGAGTGAAGCAAGCCAGGCAGAGAAAGACAAGCACCATATGATGCCACCCCTGTGTGGACTCGAATGGACAAAATAAATCAAAATAGAAACAGACTCAGAGCAGGCTGACACCTGTCAGAGGGGAGGGTGCCGCGGGGCTGGGTGAAAAGGGCGAAGTGATTAAGCACAAACCCCACAAAACTCGTAGACACGGACAGCACTCGGTGATTAGCAGGGGGAAGGGGGCTGGGGGGAGCTGAACAGGGTAAAGGGGTAAACGGAGGTGGAAGGAGGTTTGGTTTGGTTGGTGAGCACACGATGCGGTGTACAGGCGATGTGCTCTAGAATCGTACACCCGAAACCGATATAACTTTATTAACCAATGTCACCCCAATACACTCAGAAATAAAATTGATCCAGTGTCCTAGGTACCATTCTGTGGCACCTGGTTTCAGCTTTCCAGGCGGCTCAGAGCTGACCTGGAATCTGCGCTGAGCGACAGTCCTGGAGCCCAGGGGATGCCCAGACTCTGAGCTCGCGGAGTGGAGCCTGGGGGAGGCACAGAGAGGTCTCTCCACTGCCCTGCAAAGCACAGCCAAGAATCTGAGACCCCAGAGGGAGGGCCCGGTTCCGACAAACACAGACGG